CGATAAATAAACCATTCTTTGTTACGCTTACCTTGGTTTCTGTCCTTTGCCAACTGTCTCAGTTCAGAGTCTTTTTTTCTTTCTTCTAAAGTCATGCTCCTCCTAATGAACACATCAGGAAAGCCGGAATGCCGAAGATTACGAGAATTGGCTAATGCCCTACGCCAATGAAATGTAGTAGGAAGTACCACCTTAACTAAACGAGGTTTAGATGCATCAATTTTACCCATGCGAAAAACTTCGCATGGTCTGCACTCCACGTCTAAAGCGTCTAAAACATCAGAAACCTTTCTCTCGAGCTCATGCTGACGGGCAGATGGTGGCAAACTCACTTCATTCTCCTTGAGACCAGCGATCACGATGCTACGAGAACGCTTTTCTTGTTCCACGAAGAACGCGCATTCTTTAGGAATTTTTTCACTAAGCGCCGCAAGCATTCTAGAAATAATCGGATCTTTATTGATTTCCATGATGCGTAGAACGAGATCATTGGCGGTCATTTTGTTGAAGTCGCCTTCAAAAGTAACATCCGTTGCTCTCACGCTGGGGCAAGTTGGCGTGGAAGTAGATTCAGCGACTGAATCAACGTTCCCTACAGGAGTGGATTCAGCAACTGAATCAAAGTTTCCTTTTTGACTTCTAGTGATAACCATGGCTGATCTGCCGAAATGTCAATATGGACCAATCAATACACCCAAGAGATGCGACCAAAAACACAAGAATAGTACACCATATATCCAGATGAAATGCACTTTTTTAATCTAGAATATGGTTTTGAGGATCTCCGTATGTTTATACGGTATTGTTTAGTCTTTAATTGACCAGATTAGTCCCCGTCAACCGCCGGGACCTTCCTTTCCTGCGCAAGCTTTCTATCCTCCGCTATGGTCCCTTCCTCCTGTGACACCAACACCTCTGGAAGTGACGCGTATGCAACACAATGGTGTTTCATACAGTAGAAGGGACACAATCATGATATGACGGTAGATTTTTCGCTTCCCTTCCTCATCCTCCCTTCCTCTCTCCACTGCCCTCCAGCTGCCACTGCAGCACCATGTGGAATGAACGGAAGTGTGCTAAGCAGGTGTTTATATAGCCCTAAGAGTGTTATCACAACTATCCTGCTACAAAACATTGATATCTCAAATCCTGTAAGCTACCCGATTTGTTAGCGGTTTGTTTATCCCATGAGCTTCCTTCTCACTCACTTCATTTTGCGGACGGACACACATACATACACACACACACACACACACACATACAGATACACAAACCGACACACAAAGTTAGCGCTTTATAATATAGAAGGATATCTACCCGTTCCCCCACCAAAAATGCTCCGCCCCCCCCCCGCCCCTTAACTTAACTTGTTAGGGCCAACAGCTCACTGCAGCTGGGACACGCACTATGAATTTCGTGAAATTTGCGCTTCAGCGCCTCTTATCAGCCCTTATCAGCTGTCATCAATTCATGTATCCGCCACTCAGGATGTGTTCCCTCCCGTCAACATAAAACTTGCTAAGGCCTAACTTCCGAAGAACATTGCTGCACGCCGCAGCTATGAAGGTTCGTGACACACACACGGACCTACACACAACTGACAAAGCGCTATATACAGCGGGGATAGGGATCATGCCTACGCGGTAATATCTGTTTAGGGATAGTGAACGAGTGAAGTGAGTGATAATGAAAGTGATGATGAACTATCAAGCTTATCACTCTGCATGTTCCGTATTTAAGCGGATAGTCACACTCTCTCGTCCCATTCTTTATAATGCTTCCCACATGGGGTGGTTGCGGTAGCTCGACATCTCTCAATTACTTACAAGTGAAGCTTTTTTCAAAACATGTGCTAAATAACAAAGGTATTATTTAAGGGGTTCTCATTCAGAACGCCTTTCTGCCCACGTGTTCGTTTACAATTTGTTTGGCAATGTTCATTCTGTGCTTCCAAAGAAGATCACATAGGAGGAACGAGACAAGATCTGTGAAATCTCTCCTGCCGGTGAGTCCACATCTGGGCAATCGCGCGATTTTGTGCATAAAGGAACACTGGCGCGCATGTCCCTAGGGCGGACATTTGAAACAGGGCATTTAAGACCACTGGTAGGTGACACTAGACAAAGCCCAGGAAGAAGGTCACAACTGCTGCCATTCCAGAATCCTCCTTAGATCTTGGATTCCAGCCAGGGTGAATATTGCTTGAGGATTCCTCAACGGCACGTCGAGGATTTTCGCCTGATCCTTTACGTTCTCGCGCGCGGATATTCACTCTCGCCACCCGCGAGCCGTCTGTGCTCTCCGCGCGTACATTCACTATCGGCTCTACTCTCGCACAGCAGAGAGCGATGGTCGAGGAATTCCTCGACCGTTATTCACCCTGGTTCCAGCAATGGTTGGTGAGATGCTTGCGCGCAGCCAGCGCGGACTGACCGTCACTTTGATGTCCCGCCCATCCCTCCCCCACAAAGACATGAGTTCGCCACGACACAATATGAACGCCCGGCGGCCAACCAGAGGCCGTTCAAGTAACAGATCGAAATATGTTTCTTCCTCCATGTCATGCCACGTATTGGACAGCTTGGCATAAAATCGTTTAGGGTGATGGCTTGAACGACAGAGTAGAAGATTTCTCTAGCTTAATTGGACGGACGACAGCCTCACAGCCATGTTTCATCCTACAGATATGGAATAATGTTGCGCATAATCTGATTAAAGCCTTTAAATAATGCAGAACGCATTCAGGGTATGCGGACGAAGTCAGTGGGAATGGATTCTGGTTCAATATAGAGCGACGAGATCGTCGGGAAAGAAAATGCGAAAGCCGGAAAAGGTAGCATAATTCACTAAAAATAGCTTCTACCCCACAATACTCCTCCATACGATTTTTTATTGCATATATACTCGATATCGGTGAGTTGGGGTAGGCGTGTCACCGGAAGTGACGTGCACTTGATAGAAACTATGTGGATAAGCTGCTTCCAACATACATCGCTGGCTATCAGCAAAGCATGCTGGCAACAGCTTATCCACGCACTTCTATCAAGTGCACGTCACTTCCGGTGACACACCCACCCCAACTTTCGGATATCGACTGTATGTGCGCGTTGCTTAATATATGACATGTGGTGTTAACCACAGCAACTGCTAATGCTTCAGATGTCCTCGAGAGAATGAAAGGGCAGCATGATAGGAACTGATTACATGGCATGTTTACACAAACGACTTCTTGTACTCGTAGCTTTGCTATTCTGATCTCGAGATTTGAAGTTAGGGGGAGACACGATGGCTGAGGTATGTAGCTCAGCGTGATGTGAGGTGGATTCATGTGAGAAATCCTTCTATTTTATAAAGCGCTAACTTTGTGTGTCGGTTTGTGTATCTGTATGTGTGTGTGTGTGTGTGCGTGTGTGTGTATGTATGTATGTGTGTCCGTCCGCAAAATGAAGTGAGTGAGAAGGAAGCTCATGGGATAAACAAACCGCTAACAAATCGGGTAGCTTACAGGATTTGAGATATCAATGTTTTGTCTCGTTCCCTTACTGATGAGCACAGAGGGAGGAGACTTCACTTGTTTGGTCTCCGTCTAAGGGTCACGTGCGAAACGGAGACTAAAACGACTTCTTTGCTCACCACCCCTTCAAATATATGTGAAAATTGAAGAATATCGTTAAAATTTCGGTTTAAACATCATAAGCAAGATAATAATAAATAGATTAGTTTGATTCAACTTGTTTCTATTATAAACATAATAACTTCATTTGAGCAGGATAGTTGTGACACTCTTAGGGCTATATAAACACCTGCTTAGCACACTTCCGTTCATTCCACATGGTGCTGCAGTGGCAGCTGGAGGGCAGTGGAGAGAGGAAGGGAGGATGAGGAAGGGAAGCGAAAAATCTACCGTCATATCATGATTGTGTCCCTTCTACTGTTTGAAACACCATTGTGTTGCATACGCGTCACTTCCACGAGGTGTTGGTGTCACAGGAGGAAGGGACCATAGCGGAGGATAGAAAGCTTGCGCAGGAAAGGAAGGTCCCGGCGGTTGACGGGGGACTAATCTGGTTTGTATAAAAGCCAGGCCCAATCCTCACTGGGAAAAGTTTTGGGCGCTAACCCAAGATATGAATTAACTCCTTTTTGTTTGTTAAAATCGGGGCAGAAAAAGAGAGACTCTAGGATGCATGAACAATTTCCATTCTGCCCTAAGCCATTGCCCCTCTAGGCTTAGTCTCAAAGGATGCCCCGTCTTCAACTTGGTGCTATCGGATGTCTCGCGATAGCACCAAGTTGAAGTCACCACCCCTTTGAGCCCTCAACTCACGCTCTCGTCTGCGCTCTCTCGCCTTAGCGGCTCATTACCACATGGTGAAAATGTAGTTTGAGGGAGCCACTCATAATATCTAATCAAAGTGGCAATATCTAATCGAAGTGGAGTTGCGGAAGGGCGGTCATATCTAATCAACATTCAGAGCACAGGCTCTGAGTGCACGATTAGATATGGATACCAACCGGGATTCCGTACAAAATAATACCTGAAAGGCCCTTCGCCAAGGGCATGGCAATCGCAAGAAAGATGAAAGTGAAAAGTCAGCAAGGTGGTAGCCATTTTCACCATAGAATAATATGATATGGGTAACAAGTGTGACGTACTGGTCGTTCGCTGCTACTCAGTAAAAGATATGATAAGATATCAATGCCTTCCCGCCTCTACTTGAATCAAATCAAGGGTAGGGTGCCCTCCCCCGAACTACATTTTCACTTTACCACAATAACACAACCTTCGAACTTTTGCCTGTAGTTGGATCACCCTCCTCGGACAGGTCACATTGGCATGCAGGAGAGGAACCTGGCATCGGAGAGATACTCTGCTGGACCTATAGAAAGGAAGAGCTTCAATCTCGTGAACAGAACATAACAGTTTATCAAGAATTTGATATTCAGAGACAGCCAAGGTCAAGCGTGAAGAGCCTAGTGGTGAAGCCAACCTCAAACTGATGTGTGAAATTGAAAAGGAAGGTAAGTTATTGATTCCTCGCAATATGTGTTGTGTCATTGCCAACGCTGGATCAAATTGGTACTAAAAACATCTCCTCTACCTTCTGTTGGTGCTGAATTTAGCATCGGGAGCCCACCAGAGTCGACCGTGGGGCTCGGCAGTTTTTTTTTGTTTTTCCACGCCCCTTACCCTCCTTTTTTAGAAGACTCGATACGGGCCCCCTACGATCACACGTGAGCGCAAGTCACCCACCGAATACGGTCCTCTGCCACCCCTTTACCCAATTCTTCTGCCCTCGCCAACAGCCTCATCTACATAGTTTAGTAGTTTGTTTCGAGGCCGTTGACACACTCCAACTCCGCCCTCATTATCCCTCCGAAAACTTCAAAAGGCGCGGTCGTCTCCTACCTTCGTTGCTGCAAAAGTTTCTGAAACCTTGGCCGATAACCAAACCGCTTTACGACCTGCTTTGTTCTTTTGACCTTCGTCAACCCCAATGCGACACCCGTCCAAAGAAACAGCCTCTCCCGACCAGATCGGCTGGATGCACAGTTGAGCCTGGGCCCGCCGTTGCGTCGGTGTCCTTCATATTCGGATTTTTATTCAAAAATTGTTTTCCTCTGTCTTAATAAAAGATATATTCAGGAATAAGCGGAATGGGCGATGGCTATGAAAACTTTGGTCCACCAGAACAACAAGAGGAAACTGCTAAAATGAATTCGCAGCCGCGTGTCGTCAAGGAAAGAAAGCGCGTGAGCACAAAACCGCGAGGAAAGCCATCGAGACAACCGATGATCAAACATACTGGAAAGACAGCTCTGAAACCTCAGCCACAACCACGACCGCAACCACAAGCTAAACTTTCGGAGAAGAACAAACCGCTAGCGATTTCTCCGAAAATGATGACAGCGGAAGAAAAGAGCCACGACCCGACTAACGTACCAAAAAAGAAAGCGAAGTGGGCAGCGCTGGAGGGCACACAGGAAGAGCCAGAGGTGGCAGAAGTTAAATGAGGCGTATACTCGTTATATGGAAATTGAATGGGACTTGTGAATGATTTCTAGCTGTTCATCATGAAATAAATGGAATTAATTTTCAGTACTATTACTCTTTCGTGCCACAATGCCCTTAAAGGCAAAGTTCGGGCTCAGACCCACCTAATAAGCCCTTAAGTGGCTAGAAGTGCATGGGACGCAACTGCAGGCGACTCGCCAAGTTCCCGCATCGAAATGCGTCACTAAGGCGCTAGGGGCCAAGGACTTTGACACGCTCCACCTGTTGCGACACGCTCCGCCCACCGCTCGATATCTTGTCTGCGTCGCAATGTTGATCTGCTATGCTCTCTCTTCTCGGACTTCTCTACCGCTCTCCGCGCTCACATTATCTCTCATCTCCCTGCCGGCCTTTTGAACTTCTCCGCAACGTAGAGCAAAAGGCTCGTATTTCCTGTGTATTTCAGGATTTTTTTCCTTTTTTCTCCACTGGCGGTCCACCTCCCGCCCCTACATCACATTTGAGTAGAATTACCTCATCAGTTTAAGCTTGAATCTTGCCTTTAAATCATCTAGCCGAAAAGCACACGTGAAAAAGTGGCAATAACACGC